ACATTCTCCTCTTAAAAACAATTGTAAATTGGTTCCAAATGCTGCGATTTGATGTTCTTACATACAACTTGTATGGTGGTATTATTGGTCAGAGACGGTTCAAAGGTCAATAAAAGAAAAAAAAATATATGAATAGATATATATACCGTCATAAGATTTAAGATATTTAGAATAAATACTTGTGCTTTCCTGTTATAATTTGCAGTCCTTCTAGAACGAAAAAGGGGTAATTTAGATTTATCTCCTAATTTTTTTTATGGTAGTTACAAGGTCAGTCAAATCAATCAACCAACCACGTATAGAGTTAAGGTAGAGAAGATAACAGATCAAAGATAGTCATTCAGGAGATTATACAAATGAAAGTTAACAATTTTTAGATGAAGGAAAGTATTTTTAATCTTAAAATCTAAATTACTTTCCATGTTAAATAATCAACATTCCGAAAGAAAAAAAAATACGAGTAAATTTTAAAAAATCTGATATTTTGTTTACTGATAATCTGTAAAATTTTGTGAAGATACGTGTACATTATCAAGTTATAGTATAACTACTCATGGCTACTTTGCACTCAGACCTTTAGTCATGAGTAATATTGTTTATAAGACTTGTTTACCTGTATGTGGCAATACTAAAGAAATTTTATGATAAATAACATCCTAATTTAGCTGTTTAGGAACGTTTATGCAATTTAAATAGTCATGAATAAAATTGTTTTTAAGACTTATTTTCCTGTACATAGTGGTTTGTTGTTTTCTGTTTAGAAACGTTTATGTCACTTAAACAGTCAAGAATAATATTATCCATAAGACTTGTTTACCTGTCTATGACAATACTGAAGAAATTTTAGTAACATCCGAAATTTATTGTTCAGGAATGTTTATGCCATTTAAATGTTACAAATAATATTGTTTATAAGATTTGTTTATCTGTATATGACAATACTGAAGACATTTTCTGTTAAGTAACATTGCAATGTAGCTGTTTAGCAATGTTTATGTTTTTTTAAATAATCATGAATAATATTGCTAAAAAGACTTGCTGGAAACACACAGAAACAACAACAATATAATGCTTATTGTTTGGCAAGAAAACTTGTGATGATACTAGATAACCAGTGATATAGTGCTGGAGCTTTGCCAAAATTTGTCAGACATCAGAATAAACAACAAGCATCACTATGGTTACTTATGTAATCAGTTGCCACTAGGTCACACCCTCAAATTTGTGCATTGTATACAAGCAGGATGCATGCATATCATCACACACAGTCATGCCAACAGTAGTAGTAACAGCTAATCTTTTGAATATTTAGATAGTTGTAAAAACCTAAAATAGTTATAACTGGAAACACTAATTTAATTTTGTTGGTTATATTCATGAATCATGACATTAATTGTTTAAGCTGAAAAAAACTTGAATTAATCAAAAATAATAATGAAAAAGAAATAAAATGTCAATTACTTGGATAGTTGGAATAACTGAAGCACTAATTTTGATTAGTTAATTATTTTTGTTAACTGCTTTGTTACAAGACATTAATTGATTAATTGCCCAACTCTATTGCTTTGTACACACTCAATAAACCAATATTTTTGCCAGGTTAAGGAAAACTTGTATAAAAACTACAAAATTTACACTTAAACCATTCACACTTTGTTGTCAAACTTCTGTGAAAATAATAACTGGATAGATTGCTAGCAGTAAAAGCCTAACTTGGGACATGTCATGACACCAGAGTTCAAGAGGAAGACATCTAAGAGCAGATGCTCTACAGATCTACATTTGTACAAACACAACCTCAGAGCAGGCTTTGTCCAATGAAATTTCCAAGGATAACAAATGGAAACAGCATCCGATTTATAAACCCATCAAAATCTGCTTGATTAGCCATTGGAGACAAAGATGTTATGTGAACATGGATTGGATAAGATTGCTCAGAAGATCCACTAAGAACATGTTCATCACAGATCCTTCAATGATCTCCTGTGTTGTTGGAAATACAAACCATACATGTTGGCTCAAAATGACCAATAAAAACATGTTCATCACAGAAATTGTCTTCAATGACTTTTTGTGGTGTGTGAAGTATGGATGGGACATCACAACTCATAAGAACTACCAAGAACATGTTTATCACATATCTCATCTTCAATGACTTTCTGTGGTGGGTGTGTTGTGTGTGTGTGTGGTGGGGGGATATGATAGCTCAGAACCACCACTAAGAAAATGTTCATCATATATCTTGTCTTTAGTAACTTCCTGTGGTGTGTGAAGTACTTATAAGACATGACGACTAAGAAGAACTACTGGAACATGTTCACAAACCTATAACATTTACAATACTGAATTAAGAAAGTATTGACAGGGTACAAGGATGATTCCTGTAGAGGGAGTGTAAAAAATGATAAAGGCCTGGACATTTTCTATATTACAGCAAAACCTCAACAGTTCCACTGAATAAAAGCAGTTGTTATCACTTGTTAGTTTGAAGAAACTTTGGGTGTTTTTGCCTTTGCACCTGACATTTCAAGGGTCTTTTTTGACCTTGTTAGATCTATCAGCTTCCATACAACAGGTCTTGGAGATAGTATACTGAATATCTTTATCCCACGGCAATTATTTCAAAGAGTATCATCAAGACCACAAAATGGTCTTTGCAGGCAAAGACTGAATGGGTAAGACTTGAATGTTCAGTCTGCTGCATATTGGCAAGGAAACTGGAGATGAAATAGCCTAGTTAGGACTCAAGATCTGAAAAAGCCTTTAAGCAGAGTGAAAAAGATTGAAGTGGTGGAAATACAGAGATAGATGTTTGTGTGAAAAATAAAACAATTCTGATGTTACTTGGTATTTTGATCCTCTGCACTACCTTTTCATTCTTTCCTTCTTGAGTGATATTGTGAATAAAAGTGCAAACCACTACAGTTAAAACATAATGGCTCAACATTACAGTCACTGATGTGACTACAACAGTGAACACAGATATAGAATCCACAGTAAAAATTCTCTGAATGTCCAAATTGCTGACAATTGAACCATCAAAGTGGATGGGGAACATATGGTTGCAAAGGACAGTTTAAGTATCTGGCTTTGATACTGTAATGAAGATGGGGTTTACAAAAGTGGGAATGAGTTTGAAGAACATAAAAATAAAAACTGATACAACAGACATGAAAAATAAGTAAGAGTATTTACCTCCCTTATTACAAAAAGATACTGGAAAAACTAAAGACTTTTTTTCAACATAATGAAACTAAACAGACACTTACACATGGTAATCAGCAGTTTGTGGCTACCATTGATCAAATCATCACTTTTTTCAGCAACCACCTTACAAAAACCACCAGCCAATCATGTCACATTTATTTCAACCCTTTCACACACCATATAACCCCTGCAAAAACCAGTGCAAGCTGACTTGAAGATGAAAGGCACTGTCCTTTCTTCCCCAGAGATTTTTGTAGAAGTGTCACTATGAACTAGGCAGTTGCTGTTAGTTTCAACTTTGTTCATCATGAAGTCTCTGCCTGAACCATATATAAAAGAAGAATTAACATTTTTGTAATTGTAACATTTAACCCTTTTTTTAGGCATTGCTGAAATAGTTTTGATTTTAAAAATGCATTTAAACTAATGACTTTTATGCTGAGGTAGTAAGCAGGCCAAAAAACAAGGTAAGAATGAGCAGCAAGGATCTTTTGTACATTTATTGTTGTGATTCATATTTCAGTCTTTTTAGTAGTTCTGAAAATGTACATAAATTCATGAAGAAATGCTACATTATAAGACTATTGGTATGTATAATAACTCTTAATGTTGGAAGATGTACTCTTGTGCATTTACTAATGTTATATTTGTAAAAACAGCTCATGCTACTTCATTGTTATATAATCTGAAATGTAATAGTAGCATGTATGCTGTGAAAGTTGACAACCAAAGCTATGTTTGAGTATTTATTGACATTAGTATACACTCTACAACTGATGAAAAGGTTAACACTGTCTGAGAGCCTGCGCATTCATGTAAGTAATAATCTTTGGCATACAGTCACAAAGAAGGATACCAGTATTTCTGTGAGTGTCTAGCTCTTCAATGAATCCAAACCAATAAATCACCATTCCAGGACCAAACCTGTAAGATAAAATCAAATATTCTGTTTCTTTAGGAGCATAACTTGAATTATTTTATAGAACTTAATAATTCACACAAAAGAAATTTTCAAATAAATACTGAGTTTGGGAAAATAATTAAGACAATCAGTTTCTAACCAAGTTGAATGAAGAAAGGCTTAATAAACTATTAATATCTTTAGACATAATATTTAAACGATTTTGTGAAAGTTGTTGATGTTATAATTTGAAAGTTGCTAAACTGATCTAGGATAAGATCCATCTACATTTTCACTAATAATAGGAAAGCAGAGTTTTATTCTGGCTTTAACTGAACCATTCCTTAATATACAGTCAAATATAAATTAAACTGGTATGAGTTTGAAGTTAGGACCATATTTTAATTAACTTATTTTTAAAGTAATACAAGTCAGTACTCAATAAATAGAACTTTTGTTACCTAACTGAAGACACAGTATGCTTATTCACAATTAAATATGTAAACACAACTTCAATGATCCTATTGATGAATCACAATGTATTTAAACAATCATGTAAAGTCAATATACATACACAGTTTATGGTAACAGTTAAATCTGTATACACAACATTAATGGTCCTTTTGATGAATCAATGTATTTAAACAATCATGTAAAGTCAATATACATACATAGTTTATGGTAACAGTTAAATCTGTATACACAACATTAATGGTCCTTTTGATGAATCAATGTATTTAAACAATCATGTAAGGTCAATATACACACAAAACATATTTGAGGCCTTGCAGTATGCTTGGGCAATAAAATGAGTTAATGCATAAACTTTTGTAAACTAAGAAAGCAGACAGAAACCAAGAATAATAATTTTTTTTAACCTTATATGAAATAACCATCATAATTATTTAAACAGAGTACTCTTCTGAGGGTAATAACAATAATACGTTTTATTGTAACTCCACTCAGTGTATACAATACATAAATTTCAATGAAGTAATACAGAATAATTTTTCATGAAGCTTATTTATGGAAAACTCAATCAAGAATTGAAAATGCATTATTGGTAATTACATAACAATTGTCGTGGATTGTGAGAGCTCTTACAGTTACATTTTGTTAGAAAGAAAGGAAAAAAAAAGCTGTACATTTGATCCCAATTTATCACAAACTTTAAATAATCAATTGTGCATAATATAATGTTTCATATGATATCAAATCCCTAATAGTTATTAACAGAATCTACAAGTTACAGACAAAACTAATGTGAATAAACATTACATTTATTTGAGAAATTAACTTTTTTAAACTATATTTAATTTGAATTCATCACAGACATTATATTATAATAAAACAAATCACCTAAAGTTAAATCTAGATATCTAATATTATATATATATACATTTTATACAATCATAATCAAAATAATATATTCTGGTAATAAGTTTTCTGAAAAAATACCATTATTAACTTTTGTAAATTGTTAGTGAATATTCATGATTTCAGTTTAATCTGTGTTTACACAAGTTTCAATTATATATAACATTAGTTTATCATAATCTATATGTAAAATTTGTATGCTAAGTTTCACACCAATATGAGTTGTAGTTAAGGTTTTATCACCCACATATTGATATGTTGTACTATTTAAACCTATATTGGACAAATAATTAACATACACGTTACATAGTAATGAACCTAAAACAAAACCCTGTAAGACTTTATACTTCATAGCTATTCGATCACTATTTATATTTTTAACTCATTGCTGCATGTATTATACTCACATAACCAATAAACCATTTTTATAACTCATCTCTTATACCCATCAAGTATAAGTGAAAATTGTCATAATAATCATATTTAAAATCTTTATATTATATTGTGTTATTGCACAATTATCACTAACAAGCACTTATATACAGAATAAAATAGTTAAGTTAATGACAACATCAATCCTATTTGTATAAATTATCGTTCAATGAATATTACTCAGTTTGTCTATTAACATCAGTTAACAACCAGTCTTTTAACTTTTTCTTTTCGTCTGAAAGTATATTTATATTCCATAAATAATGGGGAGTTGGTTCATTATATATGGTATTTTATACTCTCTTTTTCCATACTTATTATTATATTTTGGAATTTCCTAATTAATATTTTCTAATGTTCTAGTATTATATATATATATATGACATTTTAATACTTTATTATTTATGCTGTAATAGGGATTTATTATTATCATATACACTGTTCAAAACAATTAAGGAAGCAACAAAAAGAAATGAGCTCAATGCTTCGGTAAATAACAAAGATAACAGAAATGTTAACTCAAAAAACCTTTTATTATGAAATTTTCTTAACCAAAAAAAAAAGTGTAATCCATGTAGTGTGTAAAACATGAGGAACACAAAACTAAAATTCACAATTAACCTCTAGTAAGAGGTATGACTACCTTAAGCTTGTATACACTCTCGACAACATCTTAGCATGCTTCTGACAATGCATCTGATGTAGTCTTGAAACATGGCATTCCATTTCTCTGTCAAGGCTTATTGCAGCTCCTTAACATTGGCAGGGGGATTTGCACAGTGATGAATCTGTCTGTACAGTTGGTCCCACATGTGTTCAATGGAATTTAATTCCAGTGACCTTGCTGGCCAATCCATCACTCGATCCCATGCTGCTCTACGTAATCCATGGATAACCTAGTGATGTGGAGTCTAGAATTATCCTGCACCAATGTGAAATTGTCTCTGATGACACCCACAAAAAGTCTTACAAGGGGGTGTAGAATCCTATCTCCATACCGTTGTGCAGTTGAGGAACTTCTGTCAATAATAATTAGGTCAGTATGACCTTTCAAGCAGATCCCTGCCCAGACCATAACTGAAACTCCACCATAACGATCAAATTCCATGGTATTGCAAGCCGCATAACATTAACCCTGGTATCACCATACAGGTACATGTCTATCACAAGTAGAAACATAAAACCAACTTTTTTCCATAAAGAGTAAAGTTCTCCAATGACAAAGCCACCAGTTGTAGTGTAAACAAGAAAAGTTTAATCTGGCAGCACAATGCTGTATGGACAAAACTAGGCAAGAGTGGGTCTTTTGGCTCTTAATCTATGTTCATGAAGTCTGTTATGAACAGTTTGGTCATATACAAGGGTGTCAGTTGCACAATGAAGGTCAATTTGTAGGCCTCTAGCAGTACTTTGATTATTCCATGTTGGTAATTTCACCATGTAGCAGTCCTGTCTTTGATTTGTGGCAAGTGTATGGCCCTGATAATGTCTCGAGTCTTGCCATCACACTGGGGGCTACATTAAACCTTGTGGTAACAGTTCTCTGTGTAACACCATCTTGCAGCATCTGCACAGCTTGTGCAACCTCATTTTCATCCAAAGAGCACTTAACACAGTGTCAATATCAGAGCACTGAAAAAAACACACATCACAACAAGGAACTTCATGGTCCACTTTAAATTTTATCATGGATGTGAAGGATTTATCTGTAATGCATGAACTACTCAACATTGGATGATGAACAATAATCGGCATCATACATCATTTGTGTTCAGCAAATAATGTTGATACTACTACCATGCTTTTCACACTGAACATTACAATATTTCTTTCTTAATGCTCGCTCACATTCTTGCTCCCTTAATTTTTTTGAGCAGTGTATTTATAAATCTAATAACTGATTTCTTATAATTTCATCTGCTAAGATAAAATTTGTGTTAAATTGATCATTTTTATTCAAAATTATCCACTTAAACATTTTTTTCTGAACAGATTCTGCTAAAGATAGATAAATTATTTTTTAAATATTAATTGTATTCTCCATAATTTCACTGTAATAGGTCTTAACTTATTAGATATCATATCTATGTGTTTAGCCCAAAGTATGTCTTTGTATTAATATTTTCAATATACATACAATTACCAGCAAAATACTAATTATTTTCTACAAATAAATGTTCATATTTAGTATTACATCTTTGATCATAAAATTGTAAACAGTTTTTATTCATACTATTTATATACTGTGAGTAAATTATCACAGTTTTTGGTTTATCAGTATTCATATAGATTTCATTTACATTTAGCCAATACTTTAATTTATTAAAATCTGCTTGTAGGATTTCTTTACCAGCTTCCACGTCAATATGAGTTATAGTTAAAGCTGTATCATCTGCATATTGATATAATTTGTTCTTTAAACCTATGTTTACAATATCATTAACATATAGATTGAATAGTATTGGACCTAAAATAGAGCCTTGTGGAACATCATATTTTAGAGTCATTAGATCACTAATTATTTCCCCAATTCTTACTACTGCAACCCTATTAGTCAAATCATGAACTAATTCTGTAGCTTCCCCCTTATAACCATCATTTATAACTTATCCAGTTGTATTTTATAATTTGATGTATCAAAAGTTCTACTTAAATTAAGAAATAATACAAGTACCTTTTTTTTTTTCAAACTGTAAATTCGTGTTATTTGAAAAATTTTCTAAGAGTAACATGGTACTTTTATTCTTTATAAATCTATATTGACATAAATGTATAATATTATGTTTTTCAATAATATCCAACATTTTGTATATACTTACCTTTCCATTATTTTTTAAATTACAGATAATATTGAAATTTGTCTATAATTATTGAAGTCTTTCATTTTTTACTTATAAATAGGTTTTATCACTGATAATTTAAGTCCATCTGGCATTTTCCTTTCTTCATAGATTAAATTTAATAGGCATGGTATAATCTTTGTTAAAACGATAATATTTCATGTTTTATGTACCTTAACTGCAAACCATACCATCATTTTCTGGTTCTTTTTTAATATTCATTACGTTTACTATATTAATAACTTCTATTATTGGAGGGAAATAAATTGTATTAATCCACGAGAATACACTCTTAACCTAATTATTTCTGTTTGTAACATAGCTATTATCTTTATTATTATGATTACTTTTTAGAATATTTATCTTATTTGTAA